CGCGTTTTCGAACGTCACGCAGGTTACACATGAGATTATTAATCGGCTGCCACGCGCGCGCGTGCATGATATTTATCGCGACTTAGCTTGTTAGCTTTTTCATATCAACGACGTTCTCGCGACGTGCACTGCCGTCTCTGTCTTCGACCCACACGATTCCTCCACGATTGCCTACGATCGTATTAGTTTTCAATCGGCGAAACAGCTGCGTTTTCGTTCTCCTCGCCTTTTCTTTTTTTTTTTTTTTTTTTTTTTTTTTTTCTAGCGTAGCTGCATCGACCGATCGATGCGCTTCTGTTCCTCGCTCCATAGATTGTAGCATCACGTTTTTTTTTTTTTTTTTTTGGATTTCTTTGCAGCGATTCTGTTGGAACGTCTTTGAAATCAGCGTCCCCCGAGTTTCGTCAGTTTTGTAATATTATAGAAATATTATAAAAAATAATATAAAATTGTAATATTATAATTCTAGAATTATACTATTATAATATGTTATAATTATATTATCAGTATTCTATAATATTATAATATTACGAAACTTATGTTCTTAATCGTGAAAATATTCTGTTCTTAATCGTGGACGCACGGGAAGAAATTTTACCGATACCGAACTCCGCTAAATTTTCGGCGAGTTAAAACACTTATTGAACGCGTATCTCGAATTTTTAACGTCGGACTCGAGTTTCGATAGGAAAATTTAGAAATCCAGGCTGGGAGGAATTCGATGACAATCTGATTAGTCTGATTTTCCAAACGGTAGTTGTTTCGTAGGATTTCCTTTTACAACTCCGATCGATCGGTTTCTCTTCGAAACGATAGCCAAGACAATTCCATCCATATCGCTATAATCGAGCTCGTATTTACAGGCTAATCCTAACCATCCAACGATATCATTGTTACCGTAATCATCCACGAGAACTCTAAAGGTGCTACGCAGGTGCGTTTGACGCGTATTGGAAATCGGTAAGGCCTGTCATCCTTATATCCGCTATATACGCTCTTCAAACCTATAGAAACACACAAAAGCCAAACACACGCATACATACACACAAACATTTGTGCACTTGGATAAAAATACATGCAGATTTATCAAATATACATTATATATACATATATACGTACACACGAATCTGCATCCAATTTCAGCATTTACACGAATTTCTTCGGGTATGTGTCATTTTGGATGCCACAAAGCAACAACACTTTCATATATATATATATA